GAAGAAGAAGAAGAAGAAGAAAAAGAAGAAGAAGAAGAAGAAGAAGAAGAAGAAGAAGAAGAAAAAGCAACAACACCAACACTTTTTAAAAACTTTTTTTCTCAATAATAAGTTTCATTCTTGAATACCTTGATCCTGTACCAAGCTTCGATTCTGTGATAAAATTGCCAATTATCTTAATATGTTAACGAGAAAAACGCAATAATACCCGACACCCGTACGTGTGTTCACGTCAGATCCATCATGTGTGTCTGCATGCGACAGAATTGTGTAACAAAACTTGGAATCAGGTACTCGTCATTTTCTGGGCATAATATAGACTTATTGATACCATCGAAAAGCTTGTTCATTTGTCTTGCGTTTTGCGAAATAACACTTCTTTTTTCATTGAAATCGAAATATTTTCGAATCAAAGTGGTGGTTTCGCCTGGTAAGAGAGCTAAAACTAGCTAGAAAATAGCTGCAATAGTTTGGTGACTACCGAAGCTTGAGAGTCCTTGGAAACTTAAAATTTACATTTTTTCGTTCGTTTACTAAACGTTTTTGGGTAACACTAAACGAAGGAATTGGGTTTAGAACGGACATAAAAGGTGTTGAGCCAAAAAAAAAATTACAAATTGAAAAAAAGTACAACACCCAGAAAAATGCTGTTTTCCCTTATCTTTTTTTTTTCTTTGTTTTTGTTGTTGTTGTTTTTTTCCCTTCCCTATTCTACCTTCTGGTCACTTTTGTGTTTAGTTTTAACAACAAAGTGTGCTGCATTTTGGAATTTGAAATTAGCTGTTAGTCTTAGAGTAAATACACAGGAGAATATTTTACATTAAATAAATAAATGAATACATAAATTTTAAAAATATGTTACTTCACTCTTATAACGTTTTTTGGTAAGTTACTCATCCCAGTGTTGCCATTCCCTTAACTGGAGATGGTTACGAAAACTGGTTAGTAGTTAATTGTTTAGATCATGTTAGTCCTACATTCCTCAGCTCTTTCGAGTCACGAGGTGGGCACCCTCTGTCCCGCTCCCTAGTGGAGTCATCTTTACAGTGTCACTGAAGGTTCCGAAAGTTTGCACGAAGTCTCATACTTTGGTGGTGACATTGTCAGTATTAGTATCTAAACTAGTGGGCCATTACGAGTAGGTAGAGGGGAACATATACAGATACAAATTTTGCTGGAGAAGAGGTTTCATTTTTGTATTTGCATCAGTATGTTTAGTCTATTCTTAATATAGTATGAGCACTTGTTTTGATTTTAGTAGAACATACCCTGTTTAGTATACTATAATCTCATTTAATTGTTTTCTCTGATTTCATTGTTTTAACGAGCCCTGATTTCACCACGCTGCCTCACAATATCTATCTCCGTCCGTCAAATCCCCAGCGCAAGTTGCCGGGTGGTGAACATAATTCACCACGCTGCCTCACAATATCTATCTCCGTCAAATCCCCAGCGCAAGTTGCCGGGTGGTGAACATAATTCACCACGCTGCCTCACAATGATTTTCTCCATCAAATCCCCAGCGCAAGTCGCCGGGTGGTGAACATAATTCACCACTACGCCAAGCAAGGTCTGGCTGAACTGTTACCCTGGAGGCTGCCGGTTCGAACCCGGACGTGGCCTCCCACGAGTGGCTCACAGCTCCACGCCTTCGGCCAGCTGCTCTCCTCCAACGATTGTTTGTTCCGCTATCGGCACTTGTCACGATTCCAAGTTTTTGTAGATCTCGACGAGTTCATCGTACCTCTAAGACCTTCCCATCAGACCTGGCATCATATTGTTGAAGAGAGACAGAAAGCGACGGGAAAATATACGTCGGTGTTTCTGATTTCGAATCTATTTATTAGAAAGGACTGGACAAAGCCAGGAGACTCATCTATAAAATCAAGTAAGAGTTTATCAGATTTCGATGTTTCTTTAGGAGAGCGATACCATTCAGAAGTTCTTCGGCATACAGTGCGAGAGCAAGAGCCGCTAGGACCGAGATTCAGGTCAAAGTTCATCGTGGACCCACGTCACGTGTCAATGGTGGACATCCACCAGGCTAGAGATGACACAGGAGACCTGGACATCGTGCCCGCCGATGTCGCTCTTCTCTTCCACTACAGAGACTGGGAGGCTCCCAACAGCCTGGAGCCTCGTGCCTCAGAGAAACGGCTCGTGGACAAGTATGGGAAACGTTTGGTCACCAGGCTCGACAAGGTTTGGCGAGAGCTTGGCTCAATAAAATCCTTTAGTTTAGTTTAGTTTTAGTGGAGCTTATACGGCGCTCGCAACTGCATAAAGTCATATTATGAGCGCCAAGGGGTGGATGTCATCAGAGTAGTCCAAAAGAGGAATCAGGCTTACTCTGCTCACCCCTCTAGCTGCAACAGCACAAAGTCTGCTTCGACTATCATGGCACCCCGAAATAGCAGTGCACAAGAGTGTGACAAATAATATACGAAAGAAGTAGAGGAAACTGACGATAGTAAGGATTAGGAAAGAAAAAGCAGCAGTTCCCTGTCGTAGATCAGGCACAGTTATAAGCATGACATTTATGAATGAGCCCATTTCCAATTCTACTGTGCATTAGAACATGTTAATGTCTCCTTTTGGGAATGGCACAATAATATCTTTATGACACTTTCCGAGTTTTTAAAACGAAGCCGTCCAGAGTTAAATCAATGATTTATGTATTTGTGCGCTTCTTTTGATTTGATATATTATGTTATTCGTTGTGTTTGTAGAGGGTTGTTCAACTTTACGCGTTTTACTTGTTGTGTTAAGGGGGGGGGGGGGGGGCTACACCCCCAAAATCAAAATTCGGCTCAAAATCATGGAATATGAGTTGTAGGAATTTTTAGCTCCCTCAGCCTCTCCTACAACTATTTCATAGTATAAGAACCCCCAAAAAACCGTACTTTTTCCCATACCTGGCATGTTTGTAACCGCCATTTCCTCATAAAGTCCGTATTTTATTTTTCTTTATTGGTCGTTTTCTCAAAATGCTACTTTTCTCTATACTTTTTTTAATAACTCCACCATTTTTCGTCCAATCTTCATGAAATTTCACAGAATGGAGAGAAGAGGTAATACTAAAAATGTGTCTGTTGAATTATTTATATATTGAATAGATTTTTGTTGGTGGTGTCTGGAGTGTGGATTTTCACGGATTTTTCGCAAACTTGAATGCTACCTCAGGAAGAAATTCATTAAACATTGTTTTATTCGATTAGGAAAAAAAAAACAGACAAATTTTTAGATCTAATGTTTGTGAACACGCATGCAAAAATACAATCAATATCCATTAGCGATAAGTGCG